AGCATTTCAACAGGTTTTTGATATAATAAAAACTCAAGTTAGATACCGTTATTAATCAGCTGTAAGTTTTAGTTTGTTTGAACTTATTCATTATAATTATTGTACAAAATGGTATAAGAATGCAAACTTAAATTGATTATAGTTTATTATCAATTCAGGTTAAGAAACTAGTGTTGCTTGCATCCTATTTTAAAGGCATTTCTTTTTATACTCTACTAAAATGCAACAAAAAAAGGGTTTGATTCTATTAATTTTGTCTTTTTTATTGCACTTTGTAAGCAGATTCCTGTGTAGCTTCAGATCTGAGTTGTCTTATGAGTAAGCCTAATTTATACTTTTGTAGCAACACTATTTTTATATAATGGCAAAGAAAGGGTTCAGAGTCTTTTCTTTTTTTCCTGTGTCATATGTGGCAGCACTGTTCAATGTTTCTTGAAAACATGACCAGTGGGTATGTGACGTGTGAATAAACTCCAACTCTGTATCAACAACACTGTTGTGTAACTTCAGTTAAATACTTGTATGTGTGTAGATTAGAAAGAGGTAAGATAAAGGATCTGCAGTATTTTATGAAGTATTAATCGTACAAAGGTCAGTTTTATACAAGTAGAAGTGTGTATTTACCTGGTAGTAGGCTGTCAGTAATGGCTACGCCTCTCTATTTGGACTGGTACATCTCGGCAGACTGGCAACTTTAAAAGTAGCTCTCGGTTCAAAAAAGGTTGGGCACCCCTGCTCTACTGCATCCCCTAAAGGTCCCATGTCATGGCCATTTCTACTGATCATAATTCCATTGTTGACGTATACTAGAATAGATTTATACTGTGCAATTTTCCAAACTCACATTGGTTTCTCATACAGCATCTCTGTAAAGTATGTGTATTCACCGGTATTCACTCTCTATCCTAAACGGCTTGTTGGAGCTCCTGCCCCCCCCCCCTCCCTGTGAGCCCAGTGTGCTCTGATTGGTCGCGACGTTGAGAGGCTCGTTGCTGCGAGGAGCAGACAGGCTTCCGTGTCGGCGATACAGCGAGAACAAGCTAAACTCATCCTGAGCACAGACAAACACTCACAGCCGAAGTAAAAACAATAAGTGTGGCTTGATATGGAGTAAGAAAAAGGTTTATAACGCTGTGAGAATGGGTCTGCGGAGAGCATTTCTCCGCCATCCCAACTTAGCAGCCCGAAAAACGTTTACCCATTTAAAGAATCGTGGTAGATACCTTGTTTGTTTTAAACATCATAAATACACGAACAACAATGAGTACTTACAGGTTGTGTACCCGAATCTCCCGCTGGTCCAAACAAAGTAGGAACAGCATCGTTCTTCAGTGCCCTACGCTGTACATATCCGGCATGAATCGCTGAAAGGTTTGGGAAGCTTTGTTTTGTGAAAGGCTGGCAGAGGGTGTGGCCTCTGGGTATCCCCACGTCAGAGTACCCAGGAAGTAAACATTGGAAAATGAGAAATCTCCAACGAGGCGTTTTGGAGAGGTCTTTTCTGTGTTAGAGTTTTACTCCCTACAGGGTGTACTTTGAGGGGTTTTGACTCTGCAGACCGTTTACATGCATAAAAACCTTCATAACACACAAGGGGACGGGTAATAACCGGAAAAGCATGACATGGGACCTTTAAAGAGCCCTGGGAAGGTGACCTGGGTGTAGTCATATATCTGACAGCATGTGGAGGGTATACTTGCTCTGGTGCATTCCTCCTCTACATGTGCTAGGCATGGCCTGATGCAGTGCAAGGTGCTCCACAGAGCCCACTTCGCCAATGTTAGGTTGGCTAAAAATATTTCCACTAAGAAGTGATACCTGTAATAGGTGCAAACAGTACCCGGCCAACCATGTACATATGTTTTGGTCGTGCCCTATCGCGTGACTGCCGTCTGGTCCAATATGTTTTAAACTCTTGAAGCCCTTAACCCCCTGACTGCTCTGTTCGGGGTCCCCCCAACTCAGGGTATGCCCACTGCAGCTCGACGTGTCATCGCCTTCACGACCCTGCTAGCCAGACCCTCCATACTTCTTAAATGGAAACATGCCTCCCCACCAACACATGAGGAGGATACAGCAACTTTTACAATGAATTCAACTTGAGAAGCCAAGAGTCTCACTAAAAGGATCCTTGAAACCCTTCCACAAGACCTGGAACCCCTCACTAATGTTTATAAATGACTTCACTTTATTACTCCTGACGCTGACGTGGCTTGAGTGGAGTCCCCTGGGGGAGGAGAGAGTCTTTTGCTATATTCCTGCTGTTTGTTATTTTGTGATGTGAGTTATTTATTTTATTATTATTTATTTAAGATTGTTTCCACTGTGACCATGACCTAATTGGGTAGGAGTGCGGGGTATTTTTCTTTCCTTAAACAGACTAATTGTTCTGTACTATATTTACTGTGTTGAAGATGTCATGTCTGCAAAAAAAGGAATACCGAGACGCCTCCCCACCAATCCAGGGCATCCATTCTGGACTTGCCCTTTACGTAACAACCACTAGTGTAATTTAAAACCACCAGTGAGGTGGTGATATTAAGACCTCACCTACTCATAGCTGTATTTGGTATGGCAGATCAAACTGGGTTTAGAAGTTCTCACATCATTGCATTCACAGAACTTTTCAAATATATTTGATGAACACTGAAAGCAGTAATTCACTGTCTCACTGTCACACAATCAACTAACGCATATCCCCCCCCCATAAGTGAATGTGTTTCAGTCTGAGTTGACGCTTTTTGGCATCACAATGCCGTTATTAAAGTTTCTCTGGTATTAGATGTGTGATGTTAGCATAGCAACTGAAGCTCATCTGACTATCTTGACTGTTTGTTGTTATATTGTGGCACAAGCCGTTTTCTACAGGCACATTGGTGTACTGATTCCACTGATAGCTGCTATAATAAAAAAGTAAAGGAAATCGTATGAGGCAGTGTACTGGTCTTCAAAACGGGAGATAACAGAGAACAGATGGTGATTAAAAGTAAGGTAAAAAACAAACAGCATCAAACTATGCCTGGTTAGTGTTGCCTCACTTTAAAGCTCACTTCTTATGCTATATTTGAACAATATATTATAGGGACATATCTATACAAAACATCTCTCTGAAGTGTTTTGCTTAAAATACCAAACAGATCACCCATTACCCATTACTTCCAAAACACGTTGCGCATTGTTTTTTGACACTTTGTGAGTTCCCTGACACACCGGGGACACATATTTATATCTAAAAGTAATCAAAAAGTGCATTTTGCATAATAGGAGACCTTTACATTTTTTTGTTTTTTATCATTTGTATAGTCGCTTTCTAGTCACTTTGCTCAGCACCCCTGCCCCAGCCTCCAACGTGACGTATTTGGTTTTTGGTTCTTGACGGGCAGTGGAGTGGGGCCAGATAAGAACCGGTTTTCAGGGCCAAGAGCCGGCCCCGCTCTGGTGGAAACAGGAAGAACCGGTGCTTAATCGGGCACTAGCTGAACTGGCCCTGGATCCACCATAGGGGCCCACCCAGTTTACTCATTGGCCCACCCTGAGAAAGCTTCGTTTTTAAATTTTTTTTAAAATTATTTTATTATTATTATAAAAAAATGTATTCACCCATTGAGAATATCCAAGCATTCAAAGTGAAATTCAAGTGAACAAATATCGAGTTGAATTAATGTTGTATGTGTTTTATCCTCTGAACCGAACTCATTTACGGTAAAAACTGGTTGTTGGTTCCGGCGCGCGCCATAGTAACGTGAGAGACGCAGAGAGCTGCCTGCAAATGATGGCTCAAAGTTCACAATTGAAGAAGTTCCCTTACACTCTAAATCATGGGAAAGCAAGGTGTTTCTCATCGAGGTGGTATGGAGATTTTCCCTGGGTGGAATACAGCGCAAGTAGGGAGGCGCTTTTCTGCAAAATGTGCAGACATTTCCCCAGCCCAGGAGCTGAAGGTGCATTTACGAGGGATGGCTATGAAGACTGGAAGCACCTGCGTAAGTCGTTGGAGAGACATGATAAAAGCGAGGCCCACTGCAAGTCCATGAGCAGGTTTGAATGCTACAAGGGAACCCAAACGTCAGGAAGGGGGAATGTTGTTGACCAAATGAACCAGGAGGCACATGATCATGACTTTATAGAAAGAAATCGGAAGCATCTTAAAGTCGCCCTTGATATTGCGCTGTTCTGTGCCAAACAAGACATCTCTCTACGTGGACACAGGGAAACCAAGGAAGATCTTAATAACGGTAACTTCCTAGAATTATTTGAATTAATGTGTAAATATGATCCGGAGATCAGAGCTCGTCTCGACGAGTTGCCCAAAAATGCGACCCTATTGAGCCCTGAAATGCAAAACGAGTTGCTGGAGTCAGCCGCCTCCTTATTATTGCGTAAAATAAAAGCGGAGGTCTGTGAGACACCGGGTACATATTATGCTCTCATGGCAGATGAGTATAACGATGCTTCCAAGCGAGAACTCGTTGCTGTTTGTGTGAGATACATTCACACGGGGAAAATAAAAGAACGCGCAATCAGCTTCATGGACACAAGTGACCTGAGTGCAAGTGGAATTTCAGACAAGATATTACAGATCATCGAACCACTGCAACTTGACCCATCTCTGTGCGCTGGCTTCAGTTATGACGGGGTGTTTTCCCAACTGTTTGGCATGTCGTTGTTGATATGTGTGTTGTGAAATGCTGTATTGTGAACACATCAGGGGTCCCTGGCTGGAAGCATGGACAGTGTCAATTACAAAATACTTAGGGCTCATTGTTAAGTCTTACATAAGCACTTTTTACTTTTGTTTTGTGAGTGCTTTTTAAATAATTACATATCACTGTTACTTTTTGTATTATTAGGATTACCATTAGCTTCTATTTATAAATATACAATGCAATATATTATAGCCATCGTCAATATATATCATAAAGAATCAAATGCAATTTTTTCTCTGTAACAGCATTAGAATCTTTTCATATGTTTCACAATAATTAAGTCACACACATAAAATCCATACACTTTTTGCAGTTTGATTTGACTTTATTGAAGCTTACAGAGCACACAGCAAATACAGTAGACCATGGAAAACCCCACGAATAAATGAAACATTTAGTACCCATGCACATTTGGCATTATTTAATCCTGATATGCAAAATTGTGTTTTTTACCATAGTACCCAGTGTAATACATCTAAACCCAGCTGAGCAAATCCAAAATGTTATGTAATCAGTATAGTTATATCAATCCTTATATTTATTCCAGTACCACAACATTATATATGCATTAGCAAATAAATACATTTATTGAGTAATCATAGATAAAGTAATGCCAATGGGAAGTACAATTAAAAAACAAACAAGGAGGTTCAAACAGAGATGACGCTGAGGACATCTTTTCATGTTTGCATTCACATGGTCTTGCCCGATACCATAACACCAAACTCCTGGATGGTAATTTCTTTGTTCATGTACTGCTGAAGCTGGTGATTTGTGATATGCCCGAGACGCAACGCATCATCGATGGAGAACTTTTTCCCTGATTTTCTGTCGTGCAGAACCGAGGATTCTCCTTTGGGGCCCTTGACTGAGATCTCCTCCCAGTCACACTCCTGGCTCTGCAGGTTGACAAACATCTTCCAGTCAATCAGCCCTAGTTTGTAGGCCTCCTCTGGTCTCATCTCTTTGCCTGAGTCGGGGTCAATGATCACGATAGACCTACGGAGATGGCTCTCCCTCTGTTCCTTCTTCTGTCTCACTGCCACCAGGTTCTTCTGAAGCCTTTCAACCTCCTCATCCTTTTGTGTGGTAATGCCTCGGAGCTCTGCTAGTTCTCTCTGTAGTGAATCAAGCCTCAACTCCAGGTTCTTTCCATCATCCCTTGGTGCAGACTCTGTGATAAGCCTAGTCTCTTTGCTGGTGATATCGATCTCTGAGCGAATCTTGCGGATCTCATTCTGGAGCCTTTGGTTTTCTTGTTGCAGACGACTGCTTTCATCACGGATGTAGTGCAGTTCTTTCGAAGATTTGGTGCTTGAGAACTCCATATCAGAGAGCCTAGAAGTGAGGGTGGTAAACTCCTGATCGAGTTCTCTCCTTCTTCTTTTCTCTTCTTCCAGAGTCTTCTTTAGGTTCTCAATCTCAATCTCAGCCTCGGGGTCCCTTTCTACTTGAACTTTCTCTGTGCGAACAACTCTTTCTTTCACATCCATCTTCTCCAGGGTGATCTGCTGCTGGATGAGGACATTCAGCTCTTTCTCAAGCAGAGTGCGTTTGTGCTTCTCTTCATCAAGCTGTAGTCTGAGGATGGAGTGTTCTTTCTCCTGTTGGGGATCCTGCTGCAAGACTACCTTCTGTTTGACAGTCACCTTCTCACGGTTCTCTTTGTCGCGGATCTCAAGCTCATTAAGTGTGACACGAAGTCTTTGGATCTCCAATTCTGCATCGCGCCTTGCCCTACGCTCACGTTCCAGCTCTTCGAGTTGCAGATCCAGATCAGCCTTTTGTCTCTGCAGTTGGTAGAGCTCAGTTTTCAGGCTGTCCTTTTGTTTCTGCTCATTGTTGATATTTTGTAAGAAGGTGTCACACTCTGATCTGAGGATAGGATCTTCTTCCATCTTGACCACTTCTTGCTGAACAACCTTTTCACGGACTTGAGACAGATCAATTTTCCTCAGTCTGATCTTCTCTTCTTGAACTGATCGTTCTCCCTCAAGGTCAAGGCGTTTCTTCTGTTCATCAGCCAGTTTCCTTTTGAGAGTCTCAATTTCCTCCTTAGTCTTAGGGTCTTCTCTGTACTGCAGCACTTCATTGACCACCTCTTTGGTCTGCACTTGAGGTTTGGTGTCCTTCCATCTTTGAATTTCATCACGAAGTTGGCGGATTTCCATCTCAGATTTCTCAGTCTGGTGGGTTTTATCTACAATTTCATTGCGAAGTCTCTCCAGTTCTCGTTCAGTCTGCGGGTCCGTCTTGTATTTGATGACTTCTTTAATGATCTCTTTGATCTCCACTTGAGGTCCTCGGTTCCTCAGCGTGGTATGCTCATCCTGCAGGGTTCTGATCTGGAGCTCTGAATCCCTATAGCGCCTCTGCTGCTCTACAAGTTCAAGCCGCAGATTGGCCACCTCATTCTCAGCCTTGGGATCTGGGCGGACGATCTCCCGCATCTTCTCCTGAATAACAACCTTAGACTTCTCCTCCTCTAGGCTGGTAATTTTCCTCTGCAAGTCAGTCTTTTCGCGCTGTGATGATCTTCGTTTGGCCTTCTCATCTTCATACTGCTTTCTGAGGTTTTCTACCTCTCTTTCAAAGGCAACATCTTTCTCTACTTTCAGAACCTCTTTGATGGAAATCTTTTCCTCTGCCATTGATTTCTCTTTCTCCATCCTTCTGAGCTTCTCCTGAAGAAACTGAAGTTCATCCTCCAGCTGCTTCCTGCCATCTATTGCCTTCTGCTTCCTGTCCAATAGCACTCGGTACTCTGTCTCAAGCTGGGGATCATTTTGGACTTTGATCACTTCCTCTTCAGTGATGACCTCCTGTTCCTTGTTCTTTTCCTCAGCCAGGAGTGTCACCTGCTTTTGAATCAGAATCAGCTCATTGTCCTTCATCAACTTGTTCCTTCTTAGCTCATCCAGTTCCTCTCGAAGCTTACGCATCTCCTCCTCCTGACCACGATCTCTCTCAATACGCAGGACCTCCTTGACAGTGTATTGCTGTGCCCCTTCTTTGAGTTCTGTATCAAGGCCACGCAGCTTCAGCTTCAGTACCTCAAGGTCATTCTCCATGACATGGGTAGTGCGGCGCTCCTCTGAGAGTTTCTGCTGGACCTTATGGACTTCCTCATCAAGCTGGGGGTCAGGAACCTTTTTGATAAGCTCCTTCTTGACAATTGTGTCTTGGGGCCTCTGTCCTTCAAGGACATAGATGTCAGTCTGGATAGTTTCAATTTCTCTCTCTAGCTGTTCCCTCCTCTGGACCTCATCATCCAGCTGCTTCTTGATTCTCCATGGCTCTTCTCCCGAGACAGAAGAATTGACTGACTTGACATTTGTAGCCTGGATCATAGAGATCTCAGGTTGCTAAGGAGGGGAAATCATTTTAGTTATTCTTTTTAATGTTATTCATGTTGTGATTACAATTTACAAATGATCATGAATATTATTATTATTGTTGTCAATATTGTTAAAATATTTCACCTGGTTGAGAAGACTTTGAGTGAATTCCAGACTCTGAAGCCTTTGCTTGTTCACAGCATTCACCTCAGTGAACTTGGCCTCAATAGCAGCTTCCTGTGAACAACATGGAAAACACTGACAGTGAACACTTTCTAGTTGCACCTTGGAAAATGTAGAATCACATGTTTCTGGTGGCATGATTAACACTAGGGTGAGGATATCTCTAATGCTTTCATTATTATAATAATTCTCTCACTAAACCGGTCTTTTGGTGGGGGGTGGGGGTGCTGTTGTGGGGCAATACCACATTTAAATTGCCCCTTTTAATGTGTGTGTGGATTCACTGGCTAATCTATCCTGAGAAAGAGCACAGCTGTGATTGACTTCTTTACTCATGCATATGGATGAAGAAGACAGGGACAGGATGTTCTTCACTGTGTACTATACTTGTTCATGTCACCTAACCAAGATGTTCTGAGTGATGTGACAGAGACATATCTGATGCTGTGCCTCACCTCTGCCTTGACTATCAGTGCAGGTGATTCCAGTCTGTTCCTCTTGTATGTCTGAGGAACAAGTCCATCCTCAAGGTCAAGGATGGATCTGAACTTCTCAGTTTCATTCTCGTAGTCCTACAAAGAAAAATAAATAAACCATCAATTAACATCATCTTATTGTATTTCTGTAAGTTAAATGTAGTGATGTGGTGGTAAAAAATATCTCACTTTGATAGCTTGTTGGTAGAGCTGGGCATTTTTTGACACATTGTTCAATTCAGACTCTTTTCTGGCAATATCAGAGAGCAAGTTCTGTAGAAGACAGAAGTTGTTATACACAGCACCACTGACACAACATGTCTCTACACCAGGAAATGTGTATATAAGAATGAATCAGTCTTACCCTCTGATTCTTCAGCTTGGTCTCCACTTGGCTCGAGTTATCAGTTTCATTGGGCTCGTAGTTTGGGACGCGAGACAGCCAGTTGTTCAGATTGTCATAATCATTGCGGTAATTGCTGTAAGACATCTTGGCTCTTTGCAAGCTCTGAGACCTGCAACACACAGCACAAGAGATTATTATGAGGGTCTTATGTATGAGTCTATATGATATGCATTCATGTGATGTCATGCTCAGTATTTCTTTCAATATTTATTGATGCACAGATCTTTGTGAACTCTGCCCTGAGCCTCTCACCTGGTGTCGGTCTGCCTATTGAGGTTGTTGAACCGCTTGTTGAGCTTCTGGACGTCCGCCTCCTGCCTCTCGATGTCGGGGCAGTGCTCTTGGAATTTAGTTGCCATGGTGTCACAGCTGCTTTTGGCCAGGCGCAGGCTCTGCTCCGTCTCAGCGATCACTGACCTCTTGGTCCGCAGGTCTGAAGCAATATCCTACCAGAGTAACAAGGCAGTGTAAATACCAGTGGCGAACCGTGTCTATCACAACTGGACCTTCTGTAGACACACACACAACCCCCCCACCCCCATCCCCCCCCCACCGTTATAATGTCCGTTTTTTCACTGAATTGTCGTCTTGAAAAGGGTACTCAGAACAATTCCGCAACAACATTATCTTCACCTGTTGCACTTGCCATTTCAACGTTGAAAACAATAAAACGGCATATGAATTGCTTCGTCACATTCATCTAGATCAGGGGTCGGCAACCTTTTTGATATGAAGTGCCATAAAAAAAGATATTGCAATCAGTGTGCCGACAATCGTGAACTGTCAACGGGGGGGAGGGGGGGGGGGAACACACAGATGGCCAGTCCGCCCCTGTGTAGCATATTACTTTCAATGAGAGATGAGCAGATCGCCACGGGGCTTTCAACTAAAGACACAGCCACGCAAAAACTGGGGCATGTGTACAGCTCCTTATGGGTACTGCAATGTGTGAAGTGCCGGTGCGCTCCGGCAGCACTTCACCCCTGATCGTTTCACCACGGAGGAAAGCAGCAGCAAGTCGACTGGAGTTAAAGAAAGCGGGGCTGCGTTGCGTGCATGGCTTCCTTCTGCAGGTAACGGTCTCGTTCAGGATCCGAAAATACAATTTTAATATTTTGCACACTTATTCCACTTATTCCTAGTGTGCCACTGGTTACGGTGCCGCGTGCCAATGGAGGCACGCGGTGTATTTAATTATAAGAGAGTAAAATCTAAACTATAATAATATTTCTATCTATTTATAACTAGTTTGTTGCATTGTGTTTTGGGGGGATTATTGTACAATATCTAAGACAACCTTATGCAGGTTCCATTTGAGTTCATATTGTAATATTGTATTATAGAGCGCTACGACCGTTGCCCGCTTTGCTTATTGATAAGCCACCTCTGGTAAGGGACCATAATCCATTAAGGGCCACAGTTATAAAAAACAAAGCATGCTCTTTATAACCAGCTTCAGAGTAAATGAAGACCCGCTACACAGTGTGATGGTTCATAACACTGCTAGTGATCAAAGACTTGTGATTCTTTCATTTCCATTTCAAAGTGGGATCTCATTGTGATGTGATCCAAAGTCTGAAAGAGCCATCTTACCCCAAGTTCCCGCTGAGTTTTCTCCAGAGAGGAGATGTCAGATGGAGCCACCTCCTCCCTGGCCAGCTTGTTCTCGTAGGAGGACAGCAGAGTCTTTCCATTTTGAAGAGAAGTCTCCAGCTGGTTGGAATTTTTCAGTCTGAAATAAAGGTAAGTTGCACAAAATGTTAAGTATAGAATTGTTTGAATCTTTGAAGGCAGATTTCTAAGTGAAGATGAGACACGTACTTCTCCTGAGAGCTCTGCAGGAGCTGCTCGATGTTGGAGAACTTCTTGCTGGCTTCGTCCACCTTGCTGTGAAGTTGAGGAGCGCTGGCACAGGTTGGGTTTGAAACCAGGAAGCTCTTTGACTCCTGCACTTTAGAGGACTTCTCTGGTTCGATCTTACTGACAGCAGCAGCGATATCCTGCAGGGAAATGTCTTTGGTTTAGTGATTTGAAATGCATAAATTCCCTCTGCTTTTTTAGCTGAATTGAGAAAGTAGACATTTGGAGAGGATTGCATTACCCTCATATCCTGCAGGCGGTCAGCGCTGTCCTGCAGGGGCCGGGTCTGCTCCAGGGGGGGGCGAACACGAGCTTGGATGGCCTTCTCCTGTTTGTCCAGGTCACTCACCACTTTGTCCATCCCGGCCATCAGCTGGCGGCACTGCTGCTCCTGCTTATCTGAGGACACACACAGTCACACACACGTGGTGAGGGACCGCTCTTACAGTAGAACATATGAAGCCTTTGTCTGACACATGGTACATTCAGTAATAATAATAATCCCTCAAAATGCAGGAAATCTGAGCGTGCACCAGTGAACCAGTGGCGGAAAGTAACTAAGTACATTTACTCAAGTACTATACTAACAGTAAGTAAACATTTGAGGTACTTGTACTTTACTTGAGTATTTTAATGTTATACTACTTTATACTTCTACTCTACTACATTTTCGATGCCGGTCTTTTGTACTTTTTACTTAACTACATTTATTTTACACGTTTTCTTTACTAATAACTTTATAAATTATGATTTTGACACACAATACTTGTTTAAAATATGATTATTTGCTATAGATTAAACCATCCAACTTTATAATCAAGTAACTACAACCATGATTTGATTAACAGAAAATTAATTGGCAGCAATTTTTCTTGGAAGTTTTTTGTTCAGAAATATTTTGTTTTGTTCAGTTTTTTAAATGTAAGGATTTGCTGCTTTTGCTTTAAAATATTTTAAAACATTTTCAAGTTTTTTTTATGATTATACTCATAATGGAAGAATCTGAATACTTTTTCCACCACTACAACTAACATAGGTAAGAAGGCCGAAGCCTCCAACCTGTGATGGATCTTTTCTCTTTAAAATAAATGTAATCTGACCGCCCCGTAATCTTTACCAACCAGTTAGCAGATCTCAGTGATTCACTCATTGAGAAAAATAGTATTAATGCTAACGCAACATTACAAGCTCTATGATCTAACCAATCAATGCCGTCACTATGTTATCTGTGTCATTTATTATGTTTCTGGCTGGAACTTAATTATCTTGAAATAGTTACAAAAAAATGTTTTCCTAAAGGCTTCAAGGTGTCAAGGTGTCAAGGTGTCAAGGTGCGAGTCATTTATGTACAAATGATTAACCTGCTTGCTGTTAGCGTCTCAATCTTAAATATCATATAGGCCCAACCCTGTGCCTTTGTTGTTGGTTAAGCACACTTTAATAGAGGAATATAAACAGTATAAGCAGAGTGTCAAATGATATTATTTATATTAAATAAATAAATTAGAGTTTACACAGGGATCATCTTGAAGACAAAGCAACAAAAAAATGTTTTCCTAGCAGCTGCAGTCCGTCAGAATGTTCTGTACCTGTGGTGCCGGTCCCGCTCGCCTTCTGCAGCTCCTCGAAGCGTTTGGCCAGAACGGTCTTGCTGCCGGATATCCTCTGCTTCACACTCTTCTGCTGGCCGGCCAGGCTGCACACACAACACAGACTTATATAGCCTCAGAGGAACCTGGTTAAAGGAGTTTGTCCTAATGTGAATGTTGTTCACACACTCACTTGTCAGAGACTGCCACTGCCTCGGGGTCGGTGGGGGGGACCATGAAGCAGACGGCAGGGGCTGTGAGCTGATGTCCAGCAGCGTCCTTCACGTCCCATTTGGTCCCGTTGTTCCGGAGCAGAGTGTACCTCTCCCCACGCAAAATCGCCCCCTGTATACGTCAGACTATTATTATCTATCATCGGCTACTGGACATCAAATGTAGTTTAAACAATCCCAGCCAACACACAGGCTGGCAGAAAAAGCTTTGGTATGCACACTTTACAGGAAAAGACAATCTGAAAACCTTCTCAACATTAACGCTGCTAATCCTTTTTAAATTCACATATATATAATCTGAATTGAATGAAAACACTCTAAAAGAGGCAGTCAGATATGTTCAACATCAACACAAATTCAAAAAAGACTAGACTGAGTAATATAAATGAATGAAGTTAGTGAATTAATCAATTATATTGAAACACAAACCCACATTCTATTTAATCCTTGCTTTTTTATATTTTAAGAAAAAGAGGACTCTCCCTATGCAAAGTGTCATTATTCACAAGTGATTTGACGTGCCTTTACAAAAAGTCAAAGCTTTATAAACCTGACAAAATGGATTTATGTTTTAAGAAGGATTCAGTGAGGTCAAACACAGCCTCCTCTGCTTCAGCAAGCTGCAGAGCTCCAGAGAGAAGACTTGAAGTCCCCTGCTCTGATCCTCACGGTTTAGATACTCATAGAGTCTCAGCCTGGGCTCTCTTCTGAGGGGATCGGAATATTTCACATTGAAAGTCCAATACAGGTTACAGGCCTCGTATTAACAGCTAAACAAAGAGTAAGTACTTAGTCATGAAGCCGGTAACATCCTGTTATTACAGCAGATAGTCTGTGACCAAAACAAAAAGACCAGATGAGCTGTTTAGAGTTGGAAAAGGGCTCACTGACGCATGGAAAAGCATAAAGATGATAAAGATGAAGGAAATAATGTAATAATGAAATAATGTTCATTTCCTCCAAAGAGGATTCAAAAGAAGGAATGAAATGCTGTTTTAAACTGTAAGGTAATAGCAAACATCCACATCTCTTCTCTTTCTCTCTTTGGTCTGAAAACAACTTGAGCAAGGCACCGGACACCCCCCAACCCCCCACTCCCATTGCTCCCCGGGCGCTGTACAATAGCTGCTCACTGCTCCTGGTACTAGACTCCTGGTACTAGGATGGGTTCAAAGCAGAGAACACATGTCACTGTGTGCTGTGTGCTCTGCATGTGTGACCATTACAGAGGGGTTCATCCCTCCCAATTCTTTCCAATTCTATTTCAAACTAAACTGTGCATCCAACATGTGATGAAAAGTGGCACTGACAGTCTGGTTTCATATGATTAAAACTTTATCTATATTCCTAATACAGACCATAAGTTCTCACACTTCGAATCAGCGATGATTGCCAAATAATGGCAGCTCAGACTCCAAAAGAATTAGCACTAGCTTCCAACAACACACTACTTACATCATCTGTGTCGAACTCGCACAGAGCCTCAACAGGCAGCATCTTCGGGGGGGTCTCCCGACGGTACTTCAGAGGCGAAACCTGCAGGCCGCGCTTCTGAAGAGCCTTCACCCGGTCATCAAAGTGGTCCATGGCCTTAGCTTGGTCCTACACACACAAATTAATACATATTTAATGTAAATCTAGGATTAAAGGACTAATGTCACAGCAGGATTTGGAAAAGCGTGTCCATACTATAATCTTTAGTAGTCTCCACTACTGTAATGGTGTCTTTACAGGTCTCATACATTTATGAGAAAGCTGCAGCTCATTCAGAACGCAGCGGCTCGAGTCCTCACTAAGAAAGTGTATCAGTCCAGTTCTGGGGTCTTTACACTGGCTTCCTGTCTGTCAAAGAACTGATTTCAAAATACTGCAGCTGGTTTATAAAGCATTGAATGGTTTAGGGCCAAAATACATTTCTGATCTTTCTCTTTTGCTTTTTTTAATGACTCTTTCATTGTATTCAAATGTCCTTCTCGATGTGTTTATTTGCACTTTGTCTCGATGCTTGTATCTCTTTATGTAAAGCACTGTGCATGGCCTTGAAGCTGCTGTGTGAGTCCAGCTGTCTGAAGAGATACTCACATCCAGCTCTCTGATCAGACCCTCCATCTGATACACGTCTTTGAACTCCGGGTTGTACTTCTGGCTGAGCTCCGTGTCCATTCTCTTCAGCAGGTCCTGAGTGTCCCGCGCCTCCTTGTGGTACTGCACACACACACACACACACACACACACACACACACACACACACACACACACACACACACACACACACACACACACACACACACACACACACACACACACACACACACTGATGAGCTTCACCTGTTTGTGTGTGTGTGTGTGTGTGTGTGTGTGTGTGTGTGTGTGTGTGTGTGTGTGTGTGTGTGTGTGTGTGTGTGTCACCTTGTGGTACTCGTCCATGTATTTGAGGTGGTTCTCCTCACAGATGAGCAGGTTCAGGTACTCCTTCCAGTCAGCGTGCACGGCCTCCGTATGAGCCTGAAAACCAGAATGTGTGTGAGCATGTGATCAGTCAAATTTAAGTGAACACTTTATTTTTGGAGTAAACGGTTTTGAAGTCACATCCCACTCGCAAACTCCACCACCCCTCCCAAAAAAACAAAACATTACTGAATTGTGTGACTCCTAATATCGTTCTTTGTCTTACTTTAATTTGGGGATAAAGCTGTGTACCCAAGGATGGACAGAAGTATTTCTGGATAACTGAGGGAAACCTCCATTCTAATGATTCTCAGGCAACTTCTAAAATTACAAGTTTTTTAACTTATGGTTTCTCAGCAGATGGACCTTTTTTTGATAACTTCAAAAGGAATATATTCTGGGAAAGTTTAAGTCTCTCAAAATATGTTAATCATATACGTGTGTTCAGAATTGAGTTATGACTCAGAGAATGGGTAGCTTAAGCACCTCAATGTCATCCATGAGCTGTGTGCGACACACTGCTGACTGTGGGGAGCAATCCAATCAGCAGCCGGACTACAATCACCTCTAAGGCCCCTGTCCCTGAACCTCTCCACCCCCCCCCCCCATCCCCAGGTGGAGGCCTCACAGTTGGAACTCCTCTCGTTTGACCATGTAGCAGCTTTAGGTCACATGGCCTACGACACCTAGATGAGACTTTAAGTCTGAGTGCCTCTGAACATATATAAATACAAACAGTCCAAGAAGTCTGTACCATCATACAGGGAATAAAGGGAAGCATTGAGAATACACATGGATTGGTTCTGCTGGTGAGCCTGTACCTCGATGACGTTCTTCCCTGGATGGTCCGATGCTATCAGCTTCTCTCCATCATCGTTCAGTTTAGTGATTGTGGCCTCTTTGGACTCAAGACATTTACCAATGAAGTTCTGTTGGGGCAACGTAGATAAGTAAACAGAGAGAACATGTTGTATTTGTTAGTGTGTAGCTAGCTGTTATGTGTGGGTGCGCTACCTCGTACTGCCTCTGGCGGGCGGGGTAGTCGAGGTTGGTGTCGCTCCAGTCGTAGTTGACCCTCTCCTCCGCCTGCTGGTCCATCCAGTACAGCTCGTTGGTGCAGCGCTGCATGTAGTCCCGCAGGCCCAGCAGGTGGCGCTGCCGGCTGCTGGAGCTGGCCTGACAGAGGAAGGAATGTAAGAGCTAGAACACACATTCACATTCCCTGGATGCTACAGTGCTAAGCTAACACATTCTAATAAGAACAAAATTGTATGTCAATATTTAACAACATAAGTAGAGCTAAGTTTTATGGAAGTTAGTTAAAGCAAAAGTAACTCAAACCAGTAAATATTAAACAGTTTTAAATCATTTTAAAATTGGACATTTTCACCTGAAAGGACAATTACAGCATCCTGGTAAAAAGGGGACAACTCTATATTTTGCCTTCAGCCGATACTCTTTTATCTGCAAAGCAGCAGTTTGGAATACAGTATGTCTGTACATCTTTAATAATACCTCATTCATGTCCAGAAACAGGCACACATTGTGAATTTGTTGGGGGCCATTTTACCCTGCATATTCATCTCCATTTGGTGCTTCAGTGAGTATTTGTGGCAGAAGGATGATTTTGATGAAATATAAAAAATCCCCATCATTTATTGTTTTGGACAAATGTTATGCATAGTTTATTCAAATGTCAAACTTTTGAGGAGAAGACACATTAGGTGTGACCCCCCACAGGCTGCAGGCAGGCGTATAGCTACTGGGATTCATAAAGAGCCTTCTTATCTTATCTTATCTAAGAGCAGCCCTCAGTCTCAGGTTATTCTGATTAGAGGAACACACACAGGCTTTAAGAGTACATGTGTGAGGGTGTGTGTGTGTGTGTGTGTGTGTGTGTGTGTGTGTGTGTGTGTGTGTGTGTGTGTGTGTGTGCGTGTGTGTGCGTGTGTGTGTGTGTGTGTGTGTGCGTGTGTGTGTGGTATTTATTTACCAGTAGTTTGGCGTACTTCATCTGGAGGCTACTGACGTATTCCTGCAGAAACAGAGAGAAAGGAGAGTGAGCAGGAGACGGTCAGAGAACCTTTCAAACTGCAAACTACTGTTAAATAATATGTTGCCAATGCTATTTAGTTAGCATTACAGCACGTTTTGAAACTCTAATAAATAAGGCAACATATAATATCCATCTCAAACAATATTTTTTAATCAACCAACACAGATATAGTTATAATTCTTACATTTTTTATATATTTTGAAGTACTAATACAAGTAATGTAGAAAAATGTTAGCAAACAAAAAAGAGGGAAACAAATTGTAAAAGATAACTTAAACAAAGTGGGACACTATGAATAAATGTATTGAAGGTAAAAATGTATTTCTTCTGAGGGTCTAACGTTGTACCTTGTCTCCGCCGGAGGAGATGTGAGGGGCGAGAGCCTCCACCTCGCTGTGGAAGATGTTGTGCTCCTCCACCTCGTTCTCCACTGACGGCAGGTCCTGGCCAAAGGCCTTGTTGTTCAGGTTGTCCTGAGCAGGGAGACAGCATGTTAGTCCATCCATCACTCCTCTGCTCTGGCTCATACTGAACTTCCCGTTTTTTAATAATGTTTAAATTGCCAAGCATATAAGTAATGGACAGTGCAGAAGTGTAAAGCTACAGCTACGGAAACAGCTACATAATGACACAAGCACCAAAACAAAGCCACATTATTAGTCATTTAGAGTCTTGATGTGTGCAACTGATGAATTGAAATCCAATATTCCCTCTCCTTATGAGAGGGTGGGATCATCCATTTTAAACAATGATTCAAAAGAAACAGCAAGGTAACATAAGGACATTGTACAGATGACTGACATAGCAAGGTACTGTGGAACAAGATGTGTTGTCCACTAGTCCTGAGTGACCTCTATGAAGGTCATGCTTCCTACCAGCTTCTCATCCATCATGTTGCCCCAGTTGATGCTGGGCAGGCCCTCGGTGCGGGTCAGGTGGTAGATCCGGTCGTGGTCCTCCTTCAGCTTCATCACCTTCTCTCTCAGCTGCCTCATGCTGAACACACACAGCACAATGTTTTTCTTTTCTTCTTCAGCTTTATATTTTCAGTGTGCACTTGACTGAAAGACCAACAGTTCCTTCTATCCATCATGAACAACAATGTAAAGCCCCATATGAAAGCTGGTATGGGGGAACCTGCTCATTTAGACTGACAGCGGTCTTCTGACGTTAGCCGCTCTGCTGCACTCACTTTCTATCTCAACACACAATACTATTTCCATTCACATGTTACTGTACATTCTCAAATAGTTGTTGAATTGAAGAGAGAAACAGGCCTTCAAATCTCATGTTTCCAGTCAATGCAAACTCTTCTCCATGTTTATCTGTGGTCTGGGATATTTACAGTGCTCTAAGTCTCAATCGTTCCACTTTGTCTTTTTCAACACTTATATACAGATTTTAACTTAGCTTCGTATGTCAATATTTATATTCAATTGATTGTATTTTATCTTTGTATTTACTTCTTTATTTGAAGTGCAGCAACTGGATAAATAGAGTTCAGGACTCGATAGTGATTTGTAATGTCACATAGTACCAGGCTTGAGGAGTAACAGATGACATGTAACGGGGCTAGGTAATCAGGATACAAAAAAAGGCAACTGTTACATACATTGTATTTAAATGGATTCCTATCAGGATTACAATGTTTTAATTTGTTTTCTAATAAAGAATGATATATTATAGGTAGACTCACTATTTAGATTTTCTTTTTGCTTAGTAAAAAGCAAAAAACAACTGGTTATATATTTGTTCTTGTATTTATCTGCATTGCATTTGATATTGAGGGAATCCAAAAGTAACGTAAAGTTTTCAGGTTACATTACTTTCATATTGTGATACTCAGATTAGTTTTTTTTACAGGTTACTAGTAATTGTAACGGAGTACATTTGTAATGTAACCCCCCAACCCTGCGTGGTACAGTATAGTTTCAGGTGGGGGAGTACTCACTCCTTCTCGATCATCTCGGCCTGGGGGTGCTGCAGCCGCTTGGCGTTGACCGCGTCGTCGTCCAGCCCGTTCAGCAGCTCCAGAGACACCAGAATTCTCTTGTTGGTGTCATCCTGGTACAGAGGCTGCTTCCCCTCGTTGATCTTACTCACATCCTACACACACACACACACACACACACACACACACACACACACACACACACACACACACACACACACACACACACACACACACACACACACACACACACACACACACACACACACACACACACACACACACACACACACAAAGTGGAATTGTTATGATAGGGCGTTGACACACACATCAATAAGATTGTGTTCCCAGACCTCTGAGGAAGACGTTGCTATCACACTGTACCTTGTTGAGGTTCTGCTCGATGTCATAGCTGTTCTTCTCCACTTTGTCAGCATTCTTCTGCAGCTTGTCGATCAGAGCGCTGAGTTCTGTGGACGGAGCGCTGCAGGACAAACACAGAGTCGGTTACATCCACAGTTTCTGTTGTTGGGACTAAAGTTCCAGTAAATGAAGTTGCTAAATTTGGCTAAATGAAAAATAAGTAAAAATGTAATTAAAACTTTGATGAATTCCAAAAAAGAGTTGAGGTTCCATGATATTTAATGAAGAAAATAAAACACACTATTACTTAAGAAAGACCACAGCTTGGAATTGTCTGCACTTTATGCTTTATGAGAATGTCTTTAAATAAAAAACCACCATAGTTGGTTAGATGGTTCCAAATGACTCAAGGCATTAGAGTTTGTCCCAGCCGCCACTGTTATCTACTTTTATAGCTGTTAATGACTTAAGAGTCACAGTTTGACTTCTTCTTGGAGCCGTCACTGTGTCTGCTGCTCTGTTTAATGAACCACTGCCTGGTAGGTTAGGACGCCTGCAGACACTCAGGGTTCCTCAAGGTAACAGACTAACTGAGCAGGTTTTATTCCCGTATCATGCAGCAGACATAAATCATCCCTCAGTGTAATGTGTGCCAGAGTGCATGCTGAAGTGTGTATCACGGTGACAGTCACAGTGAGTAAAGTGTGGAGCACCGTTTGCTCTCCTTCACAACTTTCTAAGAGAAAGTAAGAAATAACACAAATATGTTGAAGGTCATTTAAGAAACAGTGTGTCCATTTCACAGTTTGTCCACCAGAGAGCACTGTCACTGACCACTCAGTACACCTGTGTCAACTACCAAACTAACATATGTTGTGTTTTTGGCAGACATTGTTATCAGACTCTTTGGACCTCACATGGTGGTATTGGTACTAATTTATATTTGTCAGTTAAATAATTGTTTTATTTTTAATCTTTGATTACTTTTTATAACCCCCATGCATTGCTTTTTGTTTATTCTATTTCTAAATACATTTCTGAAGGAATTCCATTTAGGTTATGTCCCCAGTAAATGTTGGACAATAATGTTACAGATTAACACCATGTAAGCAAATACCATACTAGTCATTGCTATTGTTGTGTTTCTGTGTGTGTGTGTGTGTGTGTGTGTGTGTGTGTGTGTGTGTGTGTGTGTGTGTGTGTGTGTGTGTGTGTGTGTGTGTGTGTGTGTGTATTGGTGGGGGCAAAAAGAGACCATGTCTGTCAACTTGAAGCCACCATCCATCTCCTCACACACACACACACACACACACACACACACACACACACACACACACACACACACACACACACACACACACACACACACACACACACACACACACACACACACACACACACACACACACACACACACACACACCACACCCACCTTCATCTTCTGTACACACATTGCATATTGTCTGCTGCACACAGGTCCCTGACTTTAATATGAAACAAAAGACTGTCAGAACAAGTTTGAACCGGTATAGTGTAGAAGCAGCAGGCAGTTTGTCTGGTGAATGAAAAACACCCTGAGGAGTGTTTCTGTCACAACAACTCATCATGATAGCAAACATGTACAGTTCTCTGTGAGAGCTGCAGAGCAACACTCTGCACGTCTACATCACACCTGTTCTGACTGCAAACACTCAGGAGCATTAAAGAGATCAGCTGGCTGTTTGGAGCAGGACGTATGATATGCATAGTGGCCAATACTATTTTCTTGCATGTTTACAAATGATCAAACCACTGGTTATGAAAAGAGCATGTGTAGAAAAAACACAGATATTCTTGTTCTAAAATTGAGGACAGATGTAAACTAATGCTGCCTTTGTCGTTATAATGTTAGGACTGCAACTGAATGTGTCCAACAAGAACAGCTTTATATTACATAACTAACATGTTTTCTCAAATGCAAGATTACTGCTCTTTAGCCATAATTCAGAGGTCTGAACACAACGTAACAATAATCAACCCACTACACTACATATCCTGTGCTCCAAAACATGTTGTCAACAGTTTCCAGGGAGGTTCACTGGCTTTAACTCATGTTTGGCCCTGGAGCGTTAGCTTGAGAAACACAACTCAGACCTCAGGGAGAGGGTTCAATCAGAAGCAGAGAGCCCCCGCCCTCAGTCACAGAGTGGGGGGTGCTGTCCCACAGCCTCACAGGAGAACACCATCCAGAGTGTGCTTTTAGCGTGTCTTTGTATTGTTTCCAGCCTCTTTGGGAATCATGTTACTCTTTATGTTGACATATTTTTGTGATTGTTTTGTGCCTCTTTGAGGTTGTTTATGTCTGTTTGTGTCTCCTGGCCGTCTGTTTGTCACTACGTTCATTTGTTGATACATTACATCTCTGTGCAGCACAAGCCTGTTGGAGGCTCTGAGCCCTGTAGGCCATCCAAAGGAGTAGGACATTGATTTCAAACCTAACAGTTCCTCTGGATACCTGGCCTTGTTTCATTCTTCTCTTACTAC